ATAAAATTATCCACATCAGTAGCATCTGTAGGCCTAGTGGTATGTTCACATTTTAATACTTGGGCCCTATACATGTAGGCCTTACCAAGAAAGAAATATATAGTACAATGTACGAGGAAATTACGAACATAGATATGTCACTGATAATAATATTATTATTATAGTTATTATTATTTTTTTTTTATAAATACATTAATAGTAGAACTATTGTTAAAATAGTAGTATTATTGTTATTATTTTTTATTATTATTAGTAGTAGCAGTATTGTTATTATTGTTGTTATGTTGTATTTTTGGTGTTAAAATTATTGAGTATCAACGTAATATTATTCTTTGTACATACATCTATATAATCTCGAACTTTCTTCAGCTGTCTCCTAATATTTCTGATTTGTTCCCCAACACCCCACAAACCATACCCACTTTGTAACGTCTCGTTGCGATAATATTCAATGAGTCTCTCCACATCGTCATCCCGTTCTTCCCACATGGTCATTTCTGGTTCTATGCGGTACAAACGCAGACAAAAATTACCAGAAAGTCGGTTCAATAGCAATGTCTTAGTGAACGAAGATGGTAGGGGCTTCCCTACTCTGGGTAACAGCAATGTATCATTACGGAACACGATTTGACTTTCTACCATTCCGTCGGCAGCACATAGTTCCTTAAAGTTCTTAGTTAATTCCATGTTGCGCAGTTCGTCTAGAGTACCAACCCACAGGTAAAAACCCCACCTGACAATTCTCTCCAACACCATGTACGCTAACCTCGCCATATCTGAACGGACCGACCTAACGTCAGGACGGTATGCCTCTGCGGGTTTTGTCATCACTATGGCAGTCACAAACACCAGATCCGGATTACGTTTCACTAACACAACGTCAATCTGTGGCTCTACAACCGTACTACCGCGTATATATTTCAATCTCGGAATGCTGTACTCCAAGAGAACTTGGTCCACATCCTTCTCCTGTCGAGACATTATATACGTCATCGTTTCGTAAAACCTGCCTTGTATAAATTTTGAATCTTTGAGTAACTCTTTCTTCCCAAGTTTGATATCTTGTTCAATGATGCCATAGAGAGCCATGCACGTATCTTGAAGAAGCAGCTCGCTGTAATGATAGGCGTCGCTGATGTCTGGATACTTATCCGACATTTTTAAGTTCTTCTTTTCTTTCGCCATCACACTTTCCTTAAAGAATTTATAAAGAGAAACAATATTAGCATGCTTATGTAGTGACGTTCATGGCAATCATGGTGTGGATTGATTATGTCGTGACAGGGAATATTTCGCCATGACTATTGTCTGCTGCAGTATGCTTATGCCAAAGCTGC